AATGCATGTCCTGCTTCTATTGGTTCATCATACCAAACTTGTCTAAAGCTCTTGGGACTACTTGCTTTGCAGAATTCTGAATATTTCAGATTGTAGGGGGGCAATACAGTACATAGTTCACATGTTATATAAGACATGTCTGTTTCCTGAAACATGTGAATCTTCATTCTAAGTAGGATGAAGGAAAGCTACAAGCAGCCTCATACGAATTGAAGTTAGGTTTTGCTGCCAAATGAATAATGCAAAGTGTTTCTGGTTTTGAGAGCTTTGTGGATTTTAGAATGGTAGAAAGGGACAGTTGGCTTAGGAATTGCCTTTAATTTGACTATTCAGAGAGTGAGGGATTTGGTATTGCACCCCAACCTGCCCTAGGAATCAAACCTAGAGTCCCATGCATGCCAGGAAAGTACCCTACCCTATGTTACGCCATTAGCTCCTCTCCCTTCTCCATCCTTCTTAGAAAGATGGGATATGATGGGTACAAAGCTCCAAAGACTTTCAGACTTACAAGTAGTACAGAAGGATTTACATGTGTGAGAATTCTCTTTATAGATGATAATGACAGAAGGCCAGTATGCTTGGCCCTCTGTATTATTATGTTTCATTGTGAAAACAATCTTATAATGTAGGTGTAGCTCTACTTTATAGGAAACAGGCTGCTCAGGGTTACTCATCAAGCAAGTGGAATATCTGAGAATTGAGCCTGGTTTCATCTATCAGTGCTACATTACATTTTTTTCCCCTCTTACTACAAGAGTGTAGACCCATGGATACCATTGAAAGTTCATCTATATCTGTACCTCCATCTGTATTTCTTTTTTTTTTCCTGTCCTGGGGATTCTGTGTTTGTATATGCTAACCATATATTCATTGCTCTACCACTGAGCTACTTCCTCAGTCCCTGTATCAATGCTTTAATAGCTATTATATATTATATTATAGCTATTATATTATATAGATATTATAAATTATATTATAGCTATTATATATTATAATATAGCTACATATTTTATAGCTAATTATATAGATTATAAATTATATTATAGCTATTATATATTATAATATAGCTACATATTTTATAGCTATTATATTATATATTATATAGATATATCTATCTGTATATGTCTTTATTCACTGGTAGATACATGGCACAAAAAAGAGGCTCATGACTTTACAGATTTTTCAGTGTAGCTTAGAGACCTTAATTCTACATTCTACTCAGTCACTGAAACCTCTTCTTTGCCAAGTTATCCTGGACTGTCTGCCCACTTCCGTGTCGTGAGCATGTGTAGTCGAGGTCACATTGTCTCAGAGAAAGCCACTTGGCTGTGTTCTCTGTGGCTTTAGCTACTTTAACTCTGCTCCCTGACACAACTCTGATCTCTTTTCTATCTCTTACACCAAGGGGGGCATGGGCTATGTTTGGGACTTCTAGTTGCTTGGATAATTAGAGGTCAAGCAAAAATGAATGAATTAGGACTAGTGTTTAACAGGTTGGTCTAAACATCCTCCTGCTCTGTGGACAGGAGAATAGAGGCAGAGGCCAGAGCTAGAAGGCCAAGGTTGCAAAGATCCTTGAGCATACTTGAGCAGCGACGTGGAGTGAGGCAGAGATAAGAGCTAATACAGTGCCCTTGGGAAAGACCTGCATTCTGGTACCATGGAGTTTTGGGCCCATATTGTCCCCGGTATTCTGTGAACTCTCAGCAAGCCTATTTCCTGGGGCGGTAGGGGACTTGGACCATAGTCTCACCCTCAGAGTGTTGGAACTCATTATGGTTAAATCAGATACAGAACAGAAAGGTCCTCTGTTAATTCATTTCTGACATCCTGGTTGTTATGAGAAAAGTATACTGTAGGGCTAATAGGATCTTAACTCATCTCTACCATTTACAAGATTCTTTTTTAAAAATTTCAGAAAAAAAATTTTTTTTTCAGTTGGGACAAATATATAGAATGAAAACTTTTGTTTAAGAATAATTGACATATAATATATAAATGTACACATTTAAGGGCACAATTTGATAAAGACTTATAAAGCCACTATGAAACCATTGCCACAAGTTAGAAAAGAAGCATAACCATGAGGAACGTTTCCTCATGTCCCTTGCAGTAAGTATCCAGCTTCCTGGTGCTCCAGAACCCGTATATACTTCCGTGGCTGGAACACAGACCAAGAGAAAGCCCACAAGCCCTCCTTCCTGCTCCTCCTTGGGATTCTGCAGCCTCGTGGTGGCAGCTAAGTACTATCACAGTGAAGAGCTAAGTTGTTGAGGTCAGGTGTGGCTTGGGCTTATAGCTCTGCCTTTTCATGCTTTAACTTCCTTATTGCAAAATAAGTAGAATCGTGTTATTTACATGTTATTCTGCAATGGGTATAGGCATCTTTGTGCTTGAAACAGATGCTCATTCAGGAACCAGAAATATTAAATATACAGCTTTTTTTTGAATATTTGAGTTACATTTTTCTACGAATGCTTATTACTAGAGGTGAAGATTCCTGGGGTCCTGGTCCATCCTCCTGCTTTCTGCTGCTGTCACTTGTGGTGGGAGAAGGCAGCGAGGCTACAGACATAATGGGTGGGTCTGGCACACAGTAGCTGCTTCATACATATGGACTGGCTCCTCCTGACTTGAAGACTTGGTCTTTCTGAAGAGATATCCAAAGTCTGTTTTCCACAGTGTGGCCCATAAAGTCGGTAAAAGGGCTACCAGTGACCCACAAGCAGCAAACGAGGCTGAGAAAACATGTTCCGGTTTCTGGGAATGCCATTCCGGTCAGACCTAAAAACTATCTGCCGACCAGAAAGTCTCTCAAGAATTCTGTTGTTGTTGCCCTTATAAGACTGGAGGCACAGGGCGGTAACACTATCTTAAATTTTAGGGTGGTGAAATTGAATCAACGCCAGTGTGCTGCTGACATTTTTCTTTTTTATCTAGATGTTGGTTTCATGGAATTTTCACTTGTGAGTATTCATCAGGTTCGACATTTCTTTTTAAAAATTGTAGCTTAATTTACATATATAAAATATGCAAAATTTAAAGTATATACTTTTAAAGTAGAATGTAAGGTTTATTTTTTTTATTTATTTATTTATTTATTTATTTATTTATTGTGGTGCCGGGGATTGGACTCGGGTCCTCGCGCTTGCGAGGCAGGCCACCGAACCGCTGAGCTAAATCCCCGGCCCCAGAGGATTTTTTTTTTGTAAATGTAAGGTTTAAAAAGAATATAGGTTTTGTATTTTTATCTATACTTTAAATCACATAAATATCATCTAAATCAAGACGTAGAACATTTCTGTAACAACCAAAAGTTCTCTCCTGTCACTTTTCCTGGATGTAAGCACCTTTCTCACCTCTATTCCTGAAGACTTCCCTTTACGTACTTTTTTCCTCTTGGAATTGAACCCCAGGGCTTCATATTAAACTACATCTTCAGCTCTTTTTTTAATTTTGAAAATTTTGAGATAGGGTCTTTCTAAATTGCTAAATTGTTCAGCCTGGACTTGGACTTGCAATCCTCCTGCCTAAGCTTCCAGAGTGCTGGGATTCCAGCCATGCACTGCACCACGTCAAGTTCTGGCTCCTGTTCGTGAACTTTGTTAATTGAGATCATACACTATGTGCTTTTTGTGTCTGTCAATTTTCACACAATATGTCTTTGAGATTATTGTAAGACTGTACTGCTGTTATTCCACTTTGATAGACATGCTGATTGTTTCCAATAGCTGGCTATTTTCAAGAAATCTATGAACTTGTAGGTTAAAGTCTTTTTGTGTCCATATATTTTCATTTTTCTTGGTTGGATACTTAAAAATGCTTCTGGCTGGCATTCTGCATGTCTAGTGATTGTCTATAAGGAAGGTGTGTATCTGTCTTTTTAAGAATCTACCTATGTTTATAGCGGCATGGTTTATAATAGCTAAAACTTGGAAACAGCCCATTTGCCCACTAGTTGGAGACTGGATAAAGAAGATGTGGTTTTGAGAAATTAGATTCATTCATAGGAAAATGATGCATATTGAGGATATACTCCTAAGTGAAGTAAATAAGTCACACATGTGTAAATACCAAATAGTTTCTCTGGTGTGAATAAACTGTAATAGTACATAAGATCCTAATGAGATAATTGACAATGTGAAATAGGAAGAAAAGGGCTAAAGGTGTAGGAAAAGTGGGAAGAGTAGAGGAAAGGTAATAAGGGAGAGGAAAAAATGTGAGAAAATGAAAAAATGGAAATAAAATGTTTGTAATTGGGAAGGAGAGGAGGGGGTGAAGGGAGGGCAGGGACAAGGGAAAAAAATGAGAACCAAGATCTGTCATGTAAAGGTACAGATCCTAATGATGAATGTAACTGTACTGTATTCCTAAAATGTACCAATAAACTCAATGAGGAATAATAAACAAATAAATAACCAAACAGCTATGCAAAGTGGTCATACTGGGCTGGATATTTAGCTCAGTGGTTCGATCACCAGCCTCACAAGCTCAAGGACCCAAGTTCGATCCCCGATAACAAAAAACAAAACAAAACAAAGTGGTCATACCCTTTCTCATAAGAATGCTAAGTTCCATGCGCTCAGTATCATTGCCAACACTTGGAATTTTCCATCTTTTTGAAGGTTGTATGGTTATATAGAATTTTCTATGCTCTGTGTATATGCTATACTTTCTTTAAAAGTTAAAAAAAGATATATATTATCAAAATATTGAAAATTTAAACAACTCACCTGAATGTTTTGTTATCCCCCAGGGATCCAGGAACTGAATATTGCCCTATTTAATTGATGCATGTTTATTTTAATTATCTAGAAATACTTAGTGGCAAAGCCTTTGGGTTTTCTGGAGAAGTATTATTTCTGGAAAAATATATAATCTCCTCAAAGTTTCTTTGAGAGATCTTTTCATCTTCATTTCTGTCTTAGTTTAGATAGGGGAATTCGAGACTTGGAAAATTTTTGACTGAAGCTTATTGTTTTTTCTCTTTCCTGTTTCAGAGCACAAATGCCCGGTGGATGAGCGGGAGCAGTTGGAGGAAACCTTGCCCCTGATTTTGGGGCTGATCTTGGGCCTTGTTATTGTGGTAACACTGGTGATTTACCACATCCACCACAAAATGACTGCCAACCAGGCTCAGATTCCTAGGGACCGATCCCAGTACAAGCACATGGGCTAGAGGCCATTAGAAAGGCATCCTCAAGTCCTGTCTCCACCTGGATCAGGTAGAACAAAAGAAACACTTTCCACCTTGTACACGGGATATACCAGCATAGCTACAATCCAGCAGGCCTGGTATCTGGGGCTTGCTTGGCCTGCGTCCATGCTTTAACCCAGGGATGGTGGTTCCTTGGATTCATGGGGTGAATGGCAGCTGTTCTCCCCATGCTGAGGAGCGAGGAGGCAGGGGGTCAGCCATCTTTCATGCTCACGGTAGATTGGCTTTGACTGTCCAAGGAATGACAAACCCTACTTGGAGAGGTTTCTGGCCCCAAAGTTTGGAGACTGGAAACACTTCCTTTGGGAGGAAACCTCTTTAAGTTCAGAGGAAGAGGGGGTGCTTTGCCCCTTAGCCTCAGCTGGCTTACCTACACAATTTTCAATGCACACTAAATACAACCTCATACTCCCTGCAGCAAGATCCCTGAAAGTGATCCATGCTTCTGGCTGGCATTCTGCATGTCTAGTGATTGTCTTGGGAATGTTTCACTGCTCCCTGCACCCAGTGACTCTGCAGCACAAGAACCTGTTTAATGTAACTATGCACAGTTGTTTGGAATTCATAATGTGTCAGGGCCAAATGAGAGGACCTGAACAATCAATTCATGTGAGTTTGTTTTGAAAATGAATTAAAACACAGTACTCTCCAGTCTTTGTCTGCTTTCTTGAAATAAAGACACAAAATTAAGATTTAGAGGCAGCTAGAGGGAAAGGGTGAAAAATGAAGATGATTTTTTTTCCTTTCTGCAAAAGTAAAAGCAAAGAAAGGATAAGGATGAAACAAAAGTTTTCCTAGCTTTATGTTACTGTGACAAATACTTGAGACAAACATTTTATAAGAGGGAAAGCTTTCCATTTATAACGGTACATCCCAGTAATCACAGAACTCTGGGAGGTTGAGGCATAAAGACTGCAAATTTGAATTCAACCTGGGCAACTTACTGACTTAGTGAAACCAATCTGTCTCAAAAAATTGAAAAGATATAAGGCACTAGGGAAGTGCAAAAGCCCTGGATTCAATCCCTAGTACTGCAAAAAGACAAAAGAAAAAGAGAAAGGTTTATTTTGGCTCATGATTGCAGAGCTTTCAGGCCATGGCTGCCTGGCCATATACCTTCGTACTTAGTACATCATGGTGGGAGCATGCTGCAGAGATGTATTCGTCTCATGGTACAAACAACACCAATGAGATCAGAAGGGCCTGGAGTCCAATAGTCTCTTCAAAGGGACTTGCCCAAAAACCTAACTTTTTCCCACAAACCCCACCTCCTAAAGGTTCCACCATCTCCCAAGAGTGCCCCCAGCAGCCCATGTGTGAAAGGCTTGGGACCAAGCTTTTGGGGGACAACTGAGATCCAACTTGACTTTCTCAGGTGAAAATGCATGGATTTATTTTGGCAAATATAAGTAGTTTTAATAATGAACCCTCTTGAATAATGGGACTAATGTTGCTTCTGATGCTTCTCAGTCTTGAGTTTGGCATTTTGCTTTAGATGAAAAACCTAGCCTGAACACAGTGATCAAATTGAGTTTTGTTGGCAGTAAAATTTAATATAGTGAAATTCCTAGAGAAATACACATAGCTTGAATTATACAACATTCTGAATAATCATTTTTTAAAGAATAGAGCGAGGATGGAGGAAATCCTTTTCTCTCCCTCTAAGTGGGACTCTCCTCTAGCCTTCACTGCAGTGTCCCCGAAAAGAGAGGCAGCTCATACTGCTCCACAGAGGGGGGCTTTCAGTAGAAATGGTCGTTCTTAACGTCTGTTCCCTCATTTCTCCACTTGCATTTCTCTGGTGTCTCCCAACACCCACGAAGCTTTGCCAAGTTTTCATTAATAGAAAGACTGGACAAGGAGCAAAAAGAAAGCGGTTATAGTTTGGAGGTCTTTCTGGGTACGAGTTTTCAACTGTTGACAGCTGAAGGATCTAGAATTCCACTCTCCCATCAAATCTTGATAAGTATCAGTCAGTCAGTGTTCTACCGCCCTTTTGCTGCTTGCTCCATCAACCTGAATCTACCTCTCACATGACATCTCTTCAGCATGTGCCTGATACCAGCGAGAGAAAATTGCCCAGTCCTCATACAAGTTGCCCAGGGAAAGGGTGTCAGCGGATGTCCCCAAGGATGGTTGACTCCACTCTCATTCATCCATGCCTTTCTAACCTGTGTCCCAGACTTCACAAGCCCTTTGCATTTTGGTAACTCATGTATTTTAAAACAAACTTCATAACCTTTATTTAGAACCATCTAAGGATTTGGGGAGAAGTGGACCCTTGGGGCTTCACAACGATGTACCTTTCCTTTTGGTAAATCCTGCAGAAAAAAAAACTTTAATGTTTCTGAATCTGAGAAAGTCTCATGGTAAAGGGGTTTTTCACTTCTCATATTTCTGACCATTCCCTTGTGTGTTTTTTTCAATTTATACTTCCAAAATGAGTGTTTATTATTAGTTTTGGAATAGTCATTCATTCAAATGTTCAGCAAACATTGAATTTGAGCGCCTACTGAGTGCAGACTCAATGTAGGATACACAGTAGTAAGCTTGACAACTTAAAGCCTATAGAGGAGCAACTGGCAAAAAAACAACACACAAACACATCGTCCTGAAAAGAGCATAGTTCCCGTTTCTTCAAAATGTGGACATGTAGCTGCATCCCTAAACTTAAACTGACTACTTAAATCTTCCTGAATCCAAATTTCTTAATTCTCAAAATTATAGGAGTTCCTCCCTTTAGTACATGGTACAATAAAAGGTGATTATCACTACTCACCACTATTGTTATTATCTCCATTATTTACAATATCACTTTTATCTAGCTATCCTAAAATGAGATCTTAAATTTACCTCAATTTCCTTTGAATCTGCATTTATTTATTTCAGCTCTATCTTTATCTTCATTATGAACTGAACAAAGTAAGAGGCAGCCCTAGGAAAAGGGAGCCCTGGAATGCAGTGTCCAGTGCCAGATCAGCTCTCTCTCTCTCTAGCATGTAGGAGTCCAACATCCTCCATCTCTGGGTGCCTGGAGAAACCCATCCATCCTGGCCCAGATCTGGGTTTCTTTCAGACCTGTTGCCATTATCTTACACTTTGTGGCTTCTCCTGGAGCAGAACAGGCAGAGATGGTGGCCTTAGAAGCTGCATTTTTTTCCCATACTCAGAGTCAGGAAAGAAAGTAAACAGATAAACCACACATGTTCATTTACCCCTTTAGCCATTGTCTTGTCTTGTTTTTTTATTTTTACTTGGACTTAAAAACACAAATGCCTCTGGGCACAAAAGGATGCTGAATGTTGGTGCTGGCTCTGCCTGCCTGGAGGTGCCAGACCAAATGAACCACGTGCAGATTTCTTTTGAAGGGAGAATAAATTTGCTTTAAATTCTGAACATGGTTCTTTGCAGCTAATCCCTATTCCCAGGATATATATATATATATATA